AATGGGTTCAGGGTATAAAAAGTATACGCATGGGTAATGGAGAGCCGAAGGAAACTTCGTCACCTCATTACTTTCTGCATTACAAAACTCAATAATTTCATGCACCCGGGAGAAAAAGCGGTCATTCGGGTATGCTCAATGTTTCCCATGTTCTCTCTCTCTCTCTTTTTATCGATGCTCTCTGCTCTCCCAAATATGTATACATATGTATGTATAAATGTGAGCACAAGCAGCAGCTCACAAAAATTGAAAAAGCAAAGATTTTACATGAGCATGGCGAACGATTTGAAGGTATACTCTTTGCACAGAAGGGAAGAAAGGGAGTCTAACGCGAAGAAATTTAAATTTTCTCTGCTGCTGCTAGTGCTCATACGCATACATATTCATATTTATTCAATAGTCGACCATCTCGGCCGAGCGCATGAAGAGAAATGATTTTTGTTCCCATATTTTTGTAACTAAAAATTGGTCTGGGAACTAACGCTCAAAGAAAATTGTGCAAAACGCTTTACACTAAATGTCCGGTCTATGTGTTCTGTGGTTAGGGTAAGGGCCCTGTGCAAATTATAAATGAAATGAGACCTAGCTCCCAAATCAAACGAATTGAACATTTTTGCAACAGGTTTCCTACTTGTTTTCTACTTGTGTTATAGTTACCGGCGTCACTAAAGGCTTCTCCCAAATAATAATTGGTCGTTAGTTTGAATTATGCTGTTATCATCAACATATTGAGTTAGTATGATTCAATTTTGTACAACTTTAAATAAAACGTATTTTCTACTTTTATCAGTTGTTAAAATTTGTCTATATCCTTTTCAATATCTTACCTCCTTGCTCGTCCAACATAACAATGCTTCGCATCCCAACTTCCGCACTCTGAATAGAAATACATGTTGATTTTTAAATTAGTACTATAATGGGAGATACCATCAAAATTGTTCTATATCAATTTTATTTCTATAACATTGTATAATTGCTTAGAACTTTTGAAATAATCGAATCCTTATCTATATCACACAAGTAGAATATGATACATTGATTAGTCAAGTCCAATAACTTTTAAAATCGGGCAAGCAATGTGCTAGATTACTAACCATACAAAACATAGACTAGAAATCTGGAGTAACGCATTTTGCACAGTAAAATTTGAGCATAAGTTCCCAGGCCACTTCGTGAAATTTCACTCTATGTGGATGACTTTTAAACGAGAGAGTATTGAGAGAGAGAGAGGGAGAACRGAAAATATTGAGCATAGTGAAACTTCATATGTATAACAGACGAAACTAAATATTAGGGGCCTGAGCATATACGAATATGGTTAGTGGTTAGATGTAAGTAATGTATGTAATATATCTATTATATAGCAATAAAGAATAAAGGTCTAGCTTCATTTTTAGAAACGATAAAAATATAATGATCAGAAGTTTTTTAGAAATTAAATACGGAGATTTTGGAACTTAATATTATTGGAATATTATCCCCCTCCAACCAAATAAAAACAAACCACTTTTTTCAACAATTTTTGTTTTAGAAATTTTTTGTTATAAATGTTATTATCGCAATCTGCAAGTTTGCACACAACAGCATGTTTGCCAAATAAAAATATACGCATAAATACATATCTATAAATATGTATGTATCTACATATATACAAGAAATAGTTGCAATTCTTTGAAGAGACTTGATTACAGTGAATATGCACATATGTACATAGAAAAGAACTAGTGTGTCCTGTTCTCTTAAATGAAAAATGTACATCACAACAATCTATTTATTAAAAACAAGTAAGAAGACTCTAGTCAAAACTGCGCGACTAGGAGATACCCTGAACCCTTTAATCTGATATTCTAATCACACAATCTTAATGAAACTTTTAGAGCGTAATCATATGGTGCAAATGTATGTACATCCAAAAGCACAAGTCCCTAGTACTTGAAATACACCTTTTACAAAGGTGAGGGTGAGGGGGTGGATATAGAGGTGGGGGGTAAATTACAACAAAAATAGAAATTATATAAAATACATATAAATCTACATTTAAAATTTGGACGCTCTAGCTCTAAATGTGTAGGAGATATAACTAAATAACTAGCTTTCGATAAGGTTTTTAATCGATAATAAAATATCGGGAGTAGTTATCGATATATAGAGAAAAACTCGATATGCGCGTGATATACACGAACCTAGGAAAAAAATTTCAAGTCTCTAGCTCTCATATCTTCTGAGATCGACGCGTTCATACATACGGTCGGACGGACAGACAGACGGACAGGGCCAAATCGACTTAGCTCGTCGCCCTGATCAAGAATATATATACTTTGTGGGGTCTGCCACGCCTCCTTCTGCCTGTTACATACATACTTTTAACAAAACCATTATACCCTGATTTCCCATTGAAAATGGGTTCAGGGTATACAAATAACATCGAAGAGGTTCGAACCTCCCCTACTCTAACATTACTTGCGTCGCCTTTAGTACCCGCACCGCTGCTCTGCTTGATAAGCCAGTTGTGTCGAAAAGAAGTGCAGACTGATTAGAATATCAGATTATAGGGTTCAGTCGAGCAGTCTCGACTAGTCTTCTTGTTCGTTTTTTATCAAATATATATTTTATTGGGAAGGTGTGAGCTTGACTGAATGGCACTTAATACTTTTCTTTTTATACCCTGAACCCATTTTCAATGGGAATAATGGGGTATAATGTCTTTGTTGAAATGTATGTAGCAGACAGAAGGAGGCGTGGCAGACCCCACAGGGCGACGAGCTAAGTTGATTTGGCCCTGTCCGTCCGTCCGACCGTATGTATGAACGCGTCGATTTCAAAAGATATAAGAGCTAGAGACTTCAAATTTCTTTTTAAATGTCAGTA